TAAGACGACCGCGTTTTTTCAGATGGATTTCCAAGAAAAAAACATTGTCTTATATTCGTGCCAATACGGTAATATCATTACACTTTATTTTGTGAAACCTTACTATGTATATGGAATAACCGTTTTATAAAAGCAATAAGCCCCGTGAAGCCGTGGTTTACAGTGAATTTATAACAGCTAAGGGCCGTTGTTAGGCACGTTTTTGGGGCTTATTGCTTTAACCTAAACCTACAAACATTAGAAACCATAACTGAAATAAAGCAGAAATATCATGCAAGATGAAAAACTTCAATTTAAAAAAACTTAAATTGGAAATGTTGTCTTGCAAACAGAATGAAATTAAATTGCTAAAACTAAAACTGAAATCAAAATGAACTAAATATAATAATAATAATAATTTAGTAATCATTTAATTATAAAAATGAATAAAAACAATAAAACACTTAGAAAATTAATTAAATATAAAAAAAAACAAATGCAACACTAAAAATGTAATTAAATCATAAAAACTAAATTAAAATGAATAATAAAAAACAAAAATATATTAAAAAAATAAAAATAACTAATTAACCCTAAAAGGGGCGACGTATCCTGACGCATACAAACATTTGAGAAGCAGTGAAAGTGTGGGTTTTATTTCTTGGTTTCGTGTTGAAAGGGTGTTTGTTGTGAATATTTAGATGAGGTGACTTCTTTGTTTAGCTATATAGATCAAAGTTGGTCTAGTTCACATATTTACACACGTTGGAGGGACTTGCCTGTTTAAACAGCTGTTGTTCAGCATTAGCTTATTAAGTTTGCATTGAAATTTTATAATTAAAGGGGTCATATGATGTTGCTAAAAAGAACAGTATTTTGTGTATTTGGTGTAATGAAATGTGTTTATGCGGTTTAAGGTTCAAAAAACACATTATTTTCCACATACTGTACATTATTGTTTCTCCTCTATGCCCCGCCTTTCTGAAACGCGTCAATTTTTACAAAGCTCATCGGTCTGAAAAAGCGAGGTGTACTCTGATTGGCCAGCTATCCAGTGCATTATGATTGGCCGAATACCTCAAGCGTGAGACGGAAACATTTGAGCGGCGTTATGCAACTCTTCCCACACTGTGACGTAGACATGTGGGGGCGTGTTTAAACGAGACGTTTTAGGTAGGTGTGGTTGACTCTTAACTTTGATAAAGAATATCTCTTTGGATTTGAGACTTTAGTCTTTGCAACTTTACAGATCTTCTTTATGCACCAAGAGCTTGTAACACTCCAAAGAGAAAGGAACAATTGAAATCGCATCATATGACCCCTTTAATCAGTTTCCCCTGCATGTCATTTAACTGACATCAGAAAGCCATATATTTCATACTATTTTATTACCCTAAAATCATATGGGTTCTTTTCAGGATTATTTCAGTAAATATGTAAATAAATATAAAAACGTATTTGAAAGCAGCTTGAGAAGGTTGAGGAGCACTGGACTGACAGGTTAAATTGATATGAGCTGATTTGGTCTGATTTTTCCGTTCAGTCTGTCGGCGGATGGCTTTGACTGGAGCAGCCGCAGCAGCAGCTTCCAGGTCCATCTGGGAGGAGACGAGCCGCGGTCGTCATCGGCAACGGCGGGACTGAGCCGCTAAAGATGTACAGCTCTGGAAATGAGAAACGCACTGCACTTTAAACTCCCACACACACACACACGCACACAAGAGTAACACATCACACACGATGCACTGTAAGCGTGAGTCGCCATGGCAACTGACTCCAGGTTCTGATCAAGGCTGTGTTCAGAATGCTGCACTAACACACTGCATACTACTTTAAAAAGTGAAACCACAATATAAAGTAGTGCACTATACTTACGTCACTACACTGCATGCTTAATTCAGCAAGTGGCATCCAGTTCATCACCTCAGACATGGCTATTCAGCATTTTCAATCTAATTTTGTATAAAATGTTGACAATCTGATCAAATCGGGAGTGAGAGATACATATTGAGTGCATTGCATTGTGGGATTTTTATTTTTATTTCCATTTTCATGTATTTTATTTAATTTGTATTTTTATTTATTGTATTTGCATTTGTTTTTGTATTTTTTATTTGCATTTATTTTAGTTGTTAATTGAACTTTTTATTTATTTTATTATATTTGCATTTGTATTTTTATTTGCATTTATTTTATTTCTTAATTGCATTTTTATTTATTATTTTATTTGCATTTGTATTACTTGTATTATTTTATTTTAAAATATTTTTTATTTTATTATTTGCATTATTTTTCTTTTCTTTTTTAATTTGCATTGCATTGCACACTGCACAATAGAACAAATGCATTAGTGCAAACCCTGGAGTTTCATTGAGCCTCATTTATAAAGCGTGCGTACGCACAGATTTGATCTTAGAGTCGTTTACAAGGCAGAAAGCTGAAAACATTCAGTTGATTTCACATCTGAAAGGGATGGTTTCTGTGCAACATTTTATAAACGAGGCCCATGCATACTGCACACAATACACTGTAGAAATAATGCAATTATGTTAGTAAAGATTCTGATCACAGACTCTGTTTATATTCACACGATCACGTTTGCATTGTGATTCCAACACAGTAGTTACTGTCAGGATTATGAAATAATGTGCAAGGCATGAATTTATGTTACTTTGAGTATTTATCCTTAGCTGCTGAAAACAGTGTAATTGGTCCACTAAGGTTGAAGCACACTTAAAAATGACACCAATGTCTTTAAATATATTTAAGATAAACACTGTTATTTCACTGATCACGTGATTCTCATTTGTTCTTTTGTAATGAGGATGATGTTTGTGACCTTCTACTAAAATAAATTATTTGCTGTTAAATTAAGAGTAATGTGCTTCTTACTAACGAGGACAAGAACCGAATGACAAAAATCTGAAAATAAAATAATTCTGAAAAAAGTTAAAAAAAAAAAACATTTACCAAAAAAGTTTTATATATATAAAACTTATATATATATATATATAGGAGCTGATATATTTGTTATTTACATTATTATTTATAATAAACAAATACAAATGCAAATATAATAAAATTATAAGAACTTAAATAAATGCAAATAAAAACAAATGCCAATAAATACAAAAAAAACTAATAAAATAACAATATTTACAAATATAAAAAATTTTGTAAATGAAAATAAAATACAAATCATAATTTTTTTTTTATTTAAATAATTGAATTTACATAAATTGTAAAAAAAAAAATCAAAATGAAAACATTTACCAAAAAAAACTGTAATTGTATACATTTGTAAAAATTATATATATATATATATATATATATAGATAGATATACACACACACACACAAATATATAGTTTATATATATATATATATATATATATAGATAGATATACACACACACACACAAATATATAAATAGTTTATATATTTCTATTATTTATAGTTTTTCACAAATGAAATTATTTGCTGTTAAAACAAACATGGTTCTTACTAACAAGAACATGAACTGAAAACAAGACGACAAAAATCTGTGAGACAACCAGACATATTTATTCCCGTTTAAACAAATATTCTTGACACGAACACACAATACAATTCATGGTTTAACCACGGCCTGAAAATGTTCAAAATCACGTCAGAAAGACAGAGAGGAGCTTCAAACAAATGCATATCATCATCTCATTTGTGCAGATAATTACACGGCTTTGAATCCTGAAGGTGTGAGGATGTGGAAAGTGTGATCCGATCGAGTCGATGAGACTGAAGCTCAGATCAGAGCCGAAGCTGTATTTACAGTATTGTTCTGTCATTCAGAAATATTAAGGCAGACGCTGATGAAAGCATGCAGCGCTCGACACACAAACACACACCAATAGCTGCTCTTCATCTCAACTCCAGCTCAACTATTCCTCCAGAATTAGCAGATCATGAAGACGGCAGAAAACTGAATCCAGTGGAAGACACTCGCAGCTAAATACAGCACTGATCAGACGCATATTCAGCTCTCTAAAGTGTTGATGAGGAGTTCTTCATAGAAACAGAGACGTGCTGAAAACCTGTGAAACTAAAACAGCCGATGAGATCAATCAGGAGATATTTTAAGCCTGCGCTGAACTATAAATATAATCATTTAAAACTTTACAGATGTGGGTGATATTTCACTGGGGATAAACATTTATATATATTTTTTATATATATATAAAATTGCAATGAAATTTTTTTTTAATCGTTTTTACCCATATATTTATTTTAGGTTTATTTTTGCTCTGCATGTTTCTTTTCTGCATTGAATCTCTGTCTGTCGTTAAACATGTATCTGGACTAAATGGAGGAATATTATTGCTTGTTATCTGTTGCGTAAATGTGTAACAATAAGCTACTTTTCCTTCTTTCAAGCTTACAAAATTAATTTCTATGGTCTTATAAACAGAAAAGCCTTCAATGTAAATGAGGAATGTCTTTAAAAGACACACACACACACACCAAAATAAAAACAAAACATAACATAACAAAAAAAGAAATAAAATTTAATAAAATAAAATTTAATTTAAAATAATTTTTTTAAATTTAAAATAAAATTAAATTAAAATTTAAAAAATAAATAAAATTAAATAAAATGTAAAAAAAAAATTAAAAAAAAAAATAAAAAATAAATAAATAAACAAAATAAAATAAAATAAAATAGTAAGCAACCAGTCAAGAATATATACAGGTCATATTTCACAAAAAAAAAAAAAAAAATCTCTCTCTCTCTCTCTATATATATATATGCATAAACAAAAAAAATAAAGCCTAAAGTCCTTACAGTAATGAAAAAAATAGTTTTCATTTGCTTTACGCAAAATATAATTACTTGTGACTTTTAGTGTGAAATGTGACCTGGATATGTTCTTATTTACGGGATTCACCTGATTACTAACAAATTAAACAATGAAATTACTGTTGTCAGTAGGAACAGACACGGCCATTCACAACAAACATTCACACAAACCGAAGAGAAGGAAGGAAAAAAAAGGCAGCGCTACGTAACAAACCACAGTGAAATCTGACAGAAACGACTGAGAAGAGGTGAAGAATCGCAGTCAGAGTGACTCTGCAGTGTTTGAGATGTGGTCTGCAGTCCCTGAGGCTAGTGCTGCTGCCACCTGCTGCTCTGGAGCCGTTACCTCTGATCCTTCAGCAGAGTCCGGAAGTTGTGCAGCTCTTTTATACTGGTGGACAGTCTGCAGAGAGAGACAGAGACACATTCTCCATTCATTCTTTACTAATAGGGATTTATAAAAAGTCTTCATTGAAGCGTCATAAGCCGTAAAACAAAACAGCCAGCTATGAGCAGAGTAACGGTAAATGTGACGAAAAGAGGTAGAAGCTACAAGATTGTTAACAGCTTTAACGAGGAAAAGAACTACAGTCCCATGATGCATTTTGAACGACATAATCAAAATTACAAAAACCAAAATATAAATAAGTAGCGCACATCCCACAGACCCACACAGGGCTCAGGTGCAGGACAAAAAAAGTCAAACTACAGCAAAAATACACACATATCGTCCGCACACGGATATAACTGCTCCATAAGAGTTACTTATTGCAACGTTTCGACCATCGGGTCTTCGTCAGGCACAACATTTGTTTGGACAATACGTTTGCATTTTTGTTATAATCAAAATTACAACCACAATTAAAAAACAAAACTGTTTTATATATATGTAATGTATAAAACAATATACATTAAGCTTATTGAAAAATATGCATATACTGTACACACACTCAAACACACATATATGATATTATAATATAGATATGTATATTTATATATACATTTTTTTATTTAATAATAAAATGTTTTATTTTCATTTTATTGTTCTTAATTACTTTTATAATTATATTGTTTATACTTATTTTTATTCTTATATATATATATATATGTATTCTTATAGGTAAAAAAACATATGAATGCATAAAATAATTATTGCGGATAATTTTAATAGTCCTGCAGAGTGACTATTAATGACTTTATCTAAACTTCAATATTGCAAAAAAATTTTTTACAAAGAGTATATAATATTTTTTTGAATTATGTTTGTTAGAATTATTTTATTCATATATACAAATAAAAAAATGATTATATATATAATGTCATTTGCAGCGTTTCATGGGAGTGGGCGGAGCTCTTTTGGCACATTTTGCATGCCACAACTCTGATTGGTGGAATTTTCTGCTAAGCATCATGGGTAATGTAGTTTTTCACCACAAATTTAGTTGTTAAACAATCATTTTGAACATACGTTGAAATAATGCAAACTGATGTCGATTAGCAACCTCAGAGCTCACTAAAGCAATAAGCCCTGTGAAGCCGTGGTTTACACTGAATTTATAACAGCTAAGGGACGTTGTTAGGCACAACGCGAAGCGGTTATAAATTCACTGTAAACCATGGCTTCTTGGGGATTATTGCTTTTATAAAACGGTTACTCCATATACGTAGTAAGGTTTCACAAAATAAAACAGAGCAAATAAAGTGTAATGACAACAGCTTCGAACGCGGCTCAGCCAATCAGAATCAAGCACCGGAACTATCTGTTTTATAAAGTACAGTGAACATGCGTGTAATAATCTGTCTTCGTAGCGGTTCATCCTGATGCAGTAACTCTGACCTGGCGAATCCGTTGAGCAGAGCCACGATCTCCTGCCGCGTGAGCTGGAAGCCTTTGGACGGACTGTTTTCTGGAAGCTTCTTGATCTCTTTCTCGGAGAACAGGATCCTGAGGGCCGTTCCTAGACCCTGAGTCTGACGGGACAGCAGCGGTTCATTCCCATCTCACATCCAAACGCTTCAATGTCAAATAAAGCCTTGTTATTTTACCTGTAACGTTCCCCAGAGCCGGCATTTACTGCAGCCGACACAGTCCATGATACGAGAGATGTTCTTGAAATGAAGCCTGAACTCCTCCTGAACAAAGACAAGAAGGTTAAAGACCGTTTCAAATCAACATTTATGCTGTATCTTTCATCAATTGCTCTTTTGTCATATAAACATTCGTCACCAACCAATTCAATTATCATTAATAAAATCAAATCCAAATTCACATTTATTTCACTGTACAGATTTTGGAGCACAAAACCAGTCATAAGGGTCCATTTTTGGAAATTGAGATTTATGCATCTGAATGCATCATTTATGCATCTGGAAGCAGAATAAATAAGCTTTCCATTGATGTATGGTTTGTTAGGATAGGACAATATTTGGCTGAGATACAACTATTTGAAAATCTGGAATCTGAGGGTGCAAAAAAATCTAAATATTGAGAAAATCATCTTTAAAGTTGTTCAAATGAAGTTCTTAGCAATGCATATTACTAATCAAAAATTAAGTTTTGATATATTTACAGTAGGACATTTACTAAATATCTTCATGGAACATGATCTTTACTTAATATCCTAATGATTTTTGGCATAAAAGAAAAATGGATAATTTTGACCCATACAATGTATTTTTGGCTATTGCTACAAATATGACTGCTTTTGTGCTCCAGGCTCACATCTGGTGTTTTTCTGCAGGTTTAATGAAGGTACATTTTTAAGACCAAATAAAGAAAACTAAAGGTATAAATGGAACACAATACATCAATATGTTCTTGCATTAGCAACACTGCAGAGACTGAAAATACAACTTTCAACTGATTTACAATACTTTCTAATTCATTTTTACAAAAGAAATAGCTTAAGGCTTGATATTTCTGCTCCAAACCACTAGAATATATCCTAGAAATATATTTTACCGTACTTTCTGATCACGCCGCAAACGTGTTTTTCCGCAGTATTTCGGTCTTGTTTTCTAGTGAAATGTCTAACGATTCTTAAATCAAGACACATTTACTGGAGAAACAAAATGACAGAAGATAAGATGTTTTATTTTATGAGAAACTGATGAAAATGAAGTGAGTTTATGATTAAAACATGAACAAATATCTGCTGACGGGTTAATAAAAATCATCTTAACTCAAAGGGAAACAAGTTTTTATACTAACTGGCAGATATTTGTCCTTATTTTAATCATAAACTCGCTTCATTTTGTTCAATTTCTCAAAAATCAAGACTTCATGTGTTTGTTTTGCATCTCCAGTTAATGTATCTTGATTTAAAGATGTTCAGATATTTGTGTTGGAAAACAACAATATTAATTTTTTTGCAATGCATGCAACATTTAATGCCATGATTTTACGAATACTTTTTGCACCTTTTTACCTTTCACCTTTAAAAGTCGAATTACGACTTTTTAAGATCTGCAAAAACCCTGCATTACAGAAGTATAATGGGATATTTATGCTTTAATTTACTAGTTTCTAGTTAATCTAGTGAAGCACAAAGCCATTTGCTGAGGCATCTGTCGTGAACAAGTGATCGCATTTCTTAATGAAGCATTGCAAATGTGTGCACATTTTTTAACGTCATCGAGTTTAGAAGGCTTCTTTTGAAATATGAATATACAAATGAGCATGCATGCAAATCAACGGTCAATATGCAAACTGCATAACCGTAAAACTGCACTGGTGTGAATATACTGATATGCATCCAGTAAAATCATAACAGGCACCTGCAGATGACATAAAATAAAGTTTAGACTGAAACTAACCCGCGTTCCCCAGATGAGGGTTTCTGTGCTGTAAAGCGGCCCAGAATGCATCTGTCACGCTCAACTCACCTTGAGTGTCTTCGACTCTATTTTATGGCCCGCAAACATGGAGCTCTCGTCAAAGTGCATGGGGAACGCTCTGCACAAACAACACAAATAACATCCATTAACCTGCTCTCAATCAGCCAAGACTGTGAAATCTTACTGCTCATTTTAATAGTACTGCAGTGTGATTATTAATACATTTAATGAAGCACATAATGTTTCTTTATCAAAATTAGCTAATTCTCCTCAAACTAAAATCATAAGAATCATCCTCACTGTCTATACTAACAGCATTTATATATTTAAATATTTAATTTAATTACCCCCCCCCTCCCCCTTTTTGGAATAGTTATTCTGGAGGAAAATATGAGCTCATAAAACTGTGTATAATAATTATACATTAGAAAAATGTTTAAGTTAATGCAATAATGTCATGTCATTGTAACAACAATCTATTAACCTTTTTCCAATCAATCAAGATTTTGAGGGGAAAAAATATATGAATGCATAAAAGAAATCTTGCCATTTCTGGAGGTATAATTTATTTTTTAGTTATTTAAGTATTTATTAAAAAAAAAAAATTTTTTGGAATGAATGAATAAATACATAAATATTAATTTTATATAATATATATATATATTATTTTTATTTTTTTTTTCCTTGAATTTTTGTTTGGGGATATGAGCTAAAAAAAACTGTATAATAAGTATAAATTAGATAAATGTTTACTTTTTTAAGCTAATGTTATAAAGTCAATGTAATAAAAAAAATTGGAAAAAACATGATAAAAAAAACGAATACATGAAGTTATAAAAAATATTGACAGTATCATGAAATATATATGTATTACTGACATAATATAAGTCTATTAATCAATCTATTTAATTAATTAAGATTTTAAGTAAAAAAGGAATGTATAAAATAATATACAATAACAGTCCTGCATTATATAATATTACATAATATTGCATTTAATGTTTCTCAATTAAGATGAGCTCATTCCCCTCCAAACTAAAATCATGAGCAGAATAATTTACACATTTATATAAGTATATATTTCTTCTTTTTACTTGAGTATTTAAATTTAAAAAAACATTTTTTTTAAATAATGTTTTTAAATAAATTCATTATTTTTTTCTTGAGAATTTATTCTGTATTTTATTGTATTTAAATAAATAAATAAATAAATATACCTATGCATTTTTTCTTAAGTATTTACTCTGGGATGCAAATATAGCTTAATACTAGTGCTGTCAAACGATTAATCACGATTATTCACATCCCAAATAAAAGTTTTTGTTTACATAATATATGTATGTATACTGTGTATATTTATTAAGTATATATAAATACACACACATACAGTATATATTTTGAAAATATTTACATGTGTATATAATTATATTTATATAATTTATATTATAAATAAATAAATATATTTAATATATAAACATAACATATTTGTCTGAAATATATATATGCATGTGTGTATTTATATATGCATAATAAATATACACAGTATACATATATTATGTAAACAAAAACGTTTATTTTGGATGCGATTAATCGTGATTAACAGCACTACTTAATACAGCTCATAAAACTGTCTATAATAATTATACATTAGAAATGTTTAATATTAATATATGTTTTATATTATATGTTTTAGTTAATGTAATTTACATATGTGACCCTAGAGCACAAAACCAGTCATAAGGGTCAATTTTTTCATCTGAATCATCTAAAATCATCTGAAAGCTGAATAAATAAGCTTTCCATTGATGTATGGTTTGTTAGGATAGGACGATATTTGGCCGAGATACAACTATTTGGGCGGGGCTAGGGATATGCCGGTACTTTATGGAACATGATCTTTACTTAATATCCTAATGATTTTTGGCATAAAAGAGAAATGGATAATTTTGACCCATACAATGTATTGTTGGCTATTGCTACAAATATACCCCAGCGACTTAAGACTGGTTTTGTGCTCCAGGGTCACATATGTAATTAATTTTTAAATGCTAAAACTATTGACTGTATCATGATAGTGTGTCTGGTGATAACACTCACTTAGTCTCGTTGAGGACCTGCAGCAGCAGCTCTTTGGTGCTCGAGTCCTCCTGAGAGTTTCCCGTGTACAGGTTGATGAAGGAGCGCTCGAAGTACGGAGTCACTTTAGACAGCGCCCGCAGCTCGATCAGGTAAAGGAAGTACAGGTTCTTGAGCCGGCGCGTTCCCTCGCCCTTGGTCTCAGCCGGGTCGAAGCGCTGCCTGAACTCATGCAGGTTTGGACCCCAGACCGACTTCCCCCAGCCCTCTGGAGAAAACACTCGTTACACATGACTACAGGGAGCACAGTTTGAGCACAACACGTCACTATAACAGAACACACAGAACAGCACGGGGCATGCTCCACACGCAATTTCCTTTAAAGATATTTGATTTACAAGCAAATATAAATATATCACTTTCACGGACTTTTACATTAACTGTTCCCTCCTGCTGGAATGACCTGCACAACTCAATCCGAGTAGTCCTCTTTAAGAATCGGCTAAAAACACATCTCTTCCGTCTTTATTTGACCCTCTAACTCTAGCACTCTCTATTCTAATTCTATTTTATCTATTTGTTTTCTTTTTTTATTTAAAAAAAAAAAAACACTTGACCCTCTATTACTTGCAGTCTCTATTCGTTTTCTAACGGCTTGTTTTTCTTAAAAAAAAAAAACTCTAATAACACTAGCTTTCCATATTGTTTTGCTATTCTATCTACTCGTTTTCTTTGTATGCGTGTGTGTGTGTGTATATATATATATATATATATATATATGAAGAGT